GCGAGGTTGCGGACCTCATCCTTAGCAAGCTCCACGTTATTCTGGTGTCTGCCACCGAGAGCCGTCACCTTGCCTAGGACGCGCTCCACGTAGTTTTGCATGGATGTGTTTGTCTGCGATTCATCACTGTTTTCCATGTCTGTGTCCATCTGCGATTCGTCGTTGAGCCGCGCCTGAAGGAACGATCCCTCTTCGCCGAGATTGCTGGGTCGTTGGCATGTCTGGTCGTCCTCGCAGGTCTGCGCTCGTGCTGTGGCCAAGAGGACCTGGAATCAAGAGTTGAGGAATGAGCAAGGATTCAGGCTAGAGACAGCATTTTTTCTAACCGTACGGTATCCGGAAGGCGCTAAATCACGAAATGTGCCATGCCACGGCACTGGGCGCTTTAGTGCTTCTTGGTTATTGATGCGCTTATTCTTGTTGCTGCAGTGTTGCAAAGGCTGTCGGAGTTTGTGCTTCAGGTTCAAGAGTAATGACTCTTCTTTCTCGCACATCCGAGAACAAGTTAAGTACATAGGAATAACCAAGGGCCCACACAGAAGCTATGTGATGCACAGTGGTATCTCGATTTCGTAGATACACCAGCTAGACCCATGCTGACCTAAACGTGGCCCGTCAAACTCCTCTGACGAATATTGCCAAACAAGACCCTCCAAAAGCCAAGAAGACGGGAACATCAAATTCAAAAGGCCTACATAGCGATCATTCGGTCATTCCAACCAAAGTCGAAGTGAAACGACCATGGAGGTTCCCTCTGCCGAAAAAAGCCCTACATCTTTGGTCGAGCATAAGCTACTTGACTCCTCCTAGGCTTCGGGCTTCGGTTTAGGCATAGGGCTTTGGGTCTAGAGTTTAGGGTTTACTTTAGGGGCCCGAATAATTGGAACAGGGTTCTGGGGGTTCCTTAGTATACCCCCAAGCCTTATTCTAATTATTAAAGGGCTTTTGGGTTGAACTTGAAGCTGGGATCTTGACTATAGGGAGTCGCCTTGTGCACAACCCAAATACAGTACTGCAGGAATCTGATTCAGAAACCCTGGGTCCTTATCAGGGTTAATAGCATCCTAAGATATGAATATATTTGGGTTATAGGGCCAGGGCTTCTTAATCAGGTTCCTAGAGTACCTTCTAAGCTGCTGATTTTGGGGCCTTGCGCAAGTTATCAAGAGGAACCAGTAGGAATTGTATTGCTAGCTATTAAAACCTGCAAGCTAAGTTTAGGGTTTAGGGTTTAGGGACTTATGAGTTGTGAAGCTTGAAACACTGCTGAAGCATCTCAACCAGCAGACCGGTCCCAGCCCAGAGTAGGACGAAACAACTTCAACATGGGTTGAAGGCCGGCCTTAATGAGGGTTCAGGGCTCTAGGCTTGAGGCGACTTTACATGGGAAAGATGCGGCCTTTTCCACCCCACTTGCCGCCAAGCTACGATTGCTAAAAGTCGGCACACCATGGCTGGGACGATTGCGGAGCTTCTACCCAGGGCGTCGGGCTGGCCTAGCACAAAACGCCTCGCATTGCCGTGCATGTGGCCCTGGCACGGAGTCATGCGAAGTGACATCACAGCAGCACGCATGCAGGCGCTGGGCAATTTTGTGCACTCGCCTCCCATCTTCAGACATGCTCTGAGGGGTTGCTACAGGATTTCGATAGGGAGTATAGGGTACAATAATAGGCTTCGAAACGACTTTCCCGAGTCCCCCCCTTAGTAAGGGCGACTTGTTGAACACTATGAAAATCCTCACAGAGAAAACCTAGATTCTAGATAGTAAAGGTAACATTTCTTTGTTGAGAGACCTGGAAACCATCTAAGGTGTACCAGTGGCCCAAACGACCGACCTGTTGAAGGAACCAATTATACAAACTATCTATACATAATATATATATATATATATACACATACATATAACATATAGAAACCATAATTAAGGAACCCTGAAAAGGTAGGTCTTTTTCGGCTGCAGGTACACCATGAGCTCCAGAGGGACGAGGCTGCGCATGAAGAGTCAGGCAAGCATGGCAAGCCAGCTGTCCAGTGCATGGCCACGGCATCAGGGTTTAGGGTTTAGGCTTTAGGGTTAAGGGTTTAATTTAGGCTTTAGGGTTCAGGGTTTAGGCTTTAGGGTTTAGGTCTCACCAGCATCACGGTGTTGCTCTTGCTGAACAAAAAACGCTATGAATCATAGCCTATGATTGATTCCGACCATTGTATTATTACTTGTGCTCCTATTCTTCATCCAGGTGAAACTTGGGGGTTTCTCAAGTATTAGGGGTACCTTATTTTGGGGTCCTTATAATAGGGATCCTACTATTTAGAGTACTATATTAGGGTCCCCTATTTTCGGGAACCCCCACTTGGCCCTTTCAGTCATCAGGCAAAGCGCGCTGACCCTGTCCAGGCGGGGCTCGGCTTTCAAACCAAAGCTTGCAGAATGCCTTGGACCTATTTGGGAGTTTCCGAAAATAGGGGACCCCAATATAGTACCCTAAATAATAGGATCCTTATTATAAGGACCCCAAAATAAGGTACCCTAATTTTCGGAAACCCTCATTTTCTTGGAAAAGAGGCAGGGCAACCCTCAATGAAGGCACCTTAACCCGATCGGTCGCGATCTGCCTAATGTAGGGGCCTTAATAATCTTAATAAGGTTTGGGGCCAATTTTACGATAATTATCATCAGGAAACCCCCCAAAATTAAGGTTTAGGGTTTAGGGTTCCTAAACCCTAAACCCTAAACCCCTAAAACCCTAAACCCCAAAACACAAAAACCCTAAACCCTATTCGGCATCCCCTGCTTCAAAGGCATTGGGCGCCTCGGTGCCTAAGATTGGAGGCCTCCTAAGCCTCGGAAGCCTCCCATCTCAGGCGCTGGTTGTTTAGGGTTTAGGGTTTCGGGTTTAGGGTTTAGGGTCTAGGGTCTAGGGTTTAGGGTTTAGGGGTTTAGGGTTTAGGTTTTTGGGAGATGCCGGAAGGCGCTTTTTTCTACAAAGCGCTCGCATAATGTAGGGGCCTTATTAATTCGAATAAGGTTCCCTTAACTCTATAAGGGTGTAGCGTAGGGGCCTTGTGAATTAGAATAGGGCTTTGGGGTAAAAAATAGTCGTATACTATAGTAATAGTAGGGGCCTTATTAATTTGAATAGGGCTTCGAAGTAAATTAATAGTCTTGTACTCTAGTAACAATAAGGAACCCCGAATGAGTATAGGTAAGTACTGAGGCCCCTAGACTACTCTTCCGGCCCAGGCCGGACCTGAAGGATCATGGGACTTAGTAAGTAAGGTTATAATTAAGGTAACTATACTTATAACCCCAATTAAGGGACTTATAACCTTACTTACTAAGTCCCATGATCCTCCAAGTAGGCGAGGCTGAGGAGCTTGTAGGGGCTGGATCCGGCAATCCCAAAGCAACAACACCCTAAGGCTCATTATCCAACAATCGCGCAAAAGTCTAAGGCTGAACCCTAAACCCTAAACCCGAAACTCGCAACTCGAAACCCTAAGCCCTAAATCCGAAACCCGAACCCCTAAACCCTAAACCTTAACCCCTAAACCCGAAACTCGAAACCCTAAGCCCGAAACCCTGACCCCTAAGCCCGAAACTCCAGAACCGAGAGTCTGATCCTCCAAGCTGCATTCTCATTGAGGAAGCTAAGGGGACAAAGCTATCACCTATTCAGGCCTCTAAGTGACAAACCACCTAAAATCCACCGGAAAAGCCAAACCACCTAAAACCCGTATGAAGCACAAGAAAAACCCCAAACGCCCGCCTCAACTCTGAGAAGCCATGCATTTACCAATATACTTTGACATATTTTCCTCATACACTGAAGTCGACCCCAATAGTGATGTACTATAATGGACCCCGAAACCCCTACACTCTACTGACCTTGCCAGACCCCACCTCCACACTCCAGGGCAAGGCTTTCTCCATCGCTCTGGATGCTGAGATGCTCTTGTAAATATACAGTCTATGATCTGTAATATGTAATATGTAGTATAACCTGTGTAATATACGATACATATATCTATCAGCCACATGTATGACACAATGTATAATGAATCATTAGTACTGGAGTAATAGAGGGCCTTACGAAGTAGAATAGGGTCTAGGGGGTATATTAAACTGTAGCGTTAACAAGGAGCCCTAAGGATAAGAAGGAGCCCTAAGGATAGCAGCTCAGTTGTGAGTAGATGTCAGTCAGCAATTAGTAGTTTCGTCGTCCACGTAGTTGCAGGCATGGTCGTCCAAAAAATACTGAGTCTGTGCATATAGACAGGCAGATAGGTCTCAATGGCAGCTATTAACACAAAGTACGTACCTAGATCTGATCACGCCTCTAGTAAGGACCGTTGTTAACAAGATCAGTGATCGTGGCCGCCTCTCTGGGAGTCCAACAGCCACAAAACTAAGGGCTTGCAAAGCTCCACATAACATGCACGAGGACCTTGCAATCAGCGACTTCTGCGAGCCGACAAGGATCGAGTACAGGGAATCTGCTGTCGGGACAAATGTTAGCCTGAAGCCGATGTTTCGACTGACTTCGAGCCGCTTTCAGGTTGAGATCCCCACAGCGGCTAAAATGAAAACAACAACTCTTCGCATTGGCTTCCATTGGAAATAAGATTCTCGTACAGGGTTAATCGAGGGATCGCACTAGCCGTGCCCACAGAAGGCACAGAATCAGTAGGATCTCAGAACGAAGAGTTTCTGAACCCCATCTTCTCAAGTGCACTCATAGTCTCAAGGTTTAGGATCCTTATGTCAAAGATGCTTGCTCGAAGAGCCACTTCTAGCAGCTCTGAATCACATCTTGGCTTCAGGGAGTGGCGGGGTTCGGTGTTACAGGACGCAGCCGCCCTAAATCCAAATCTCACGCCGTCAGACCGTAGACTCCCAACCCACAGACTCTAACTCCCGAGCAAAACAACCTCACCTCAAAACTGCCCGAGCCCTGGTTCCGCACTAGATCCTCAACTACAAACCCCTCAAGTCCTAAACTCTACACTCCCCAAGGCCCATAAAGGCCATAAGCCCCCCTCCAACCCCAACCAAATCCCTCTGTTCGCTTCACGAGTCAGAGTGAGCTTCTCCGCAGGTGTCCACTGATGCCATGAAACAGGTTGGGTGTGACAGGGCTTTCGAGCTTTAGCTTCTAGACTCTAGGGCTTTGGGGGGTTTGGATCGTGCAATTTCAACTTCGGCCGTTTTGCTCTGGCGCACAGCCGCATTGTGGAATCACCCCATCATTCCAGCATACATCTG